AAGAGTAAAATTTATAGCACTGGGTGCCTACATTAAAAATTTAGAGATGTCCCAAACATATAAGCTTATGCTCCACCTCAAGAGCCATAGAAAAAGAACAAACCAACCTCACTACCATTAGAAAACAGGAAATAATTAAGATCATCACCAAAGTTAATGAAACTGAGAATTAAAAAAAAATAGACATGATCAATGCAACAAAGAGCTCATTCTTCAAAAATATAAATAATATTGATAAACCCTTAGCCAAAATAACCAAAAGAGAGAGGACCCAAATCAATAAGATTAGAGGTGAAAAGGAAGTATCGACATAGACCCTTCTGAAATAGAGGATCATCAGAAGAACCTTTTGGAAAATTTATACTCCAATAAATTGAAAAGTCTAGAAGACACAAATTTCTAGACATATATGACTTGCCCACATTATATTTGGAAGGTATAGGAAACCTAAACAGATGAATTTCAAGTAATAAAATTGAAATGGCAATTAAAAGCCTTCCAAAAGAGAAAAGCTGAAGACCAGATGGCTTCACAGCTGAGTTCTACCAGTCTTCTCTGAAGGCAGTATAACCCTAATACCAAAATCAGACAAAGACTCATTGAGGAAAGTAAACTATATACCAGTATCCCTAATGAACAAAGATGTAAAAATCATTAATAAAATATTACCAAGTCACATTCAAAAACACATCAAAAAGATAATGCAACAGAATCAAGTGGGTTTCATACCAGGGATGCAAGGTTGGTTCAGCATAAGCAAATCAATAAATGTAACTTACCACTGAAACAAAATTAAGGACAAGAACCACCTGATTATCTCAATAATGCAAAAAGGGGTGCTTTTGATAAAATACAATACCCATTCATGTTAAAGATGCAAGAGAGAAACTGTGGATGAAAGGAACTTACCTCAGTGTCATAATGGTCATTTGTGACAAACCCAAAGTCATCATCATACTGAATGGAGAAAAACTCAAAGCATTTTCTCTATAATCAGAAACAAAACAAGGCTGTCCACTCTCACCTATTCAACGTAATCCTCAAAACATTAGCTGGAGTGATTAGGCAAGAGAGGGAAATCAAAGGGAATCAGATAGGAAAAGAAAAGACACAGAAAAAGCTCTACCAGAAGATTTCTAGACCTTATAAATGAGTTCAGCAAAGTGGCAGTATACAAAATCAACACCCATAAATCAATGTCTTTCCTATACTCCTAGACTGATTCAGCCAAGGAAGAAATCAGGAAAATCATCCCATTCACAATAACCTCCAGAAAAAAAAAAAAAAGAAAAAGAAAAAGAAACACTTTGGAATTAACATAATCAAGGAGGTAGAAGTGGCTACAATGAAAATTATAGAACACCGAATAAAGAAATTGAAGAAGACCTTAGAAGATGGAAAGACATCCCATGTTCTTAGATAGGCAGAATTAATATTGTCAAAATGGTCACACTATCAAAACAATATACACATTCAATACAAAACCCATCAAAATATCAAAGACATTCTTCACAGAATTAAAAAAAAATTCTTAGATTAATTTGGTAGAACAAGAGACCCAGAAATGCCAAAGTAATTGAGAACAAGAAAGATAAAGCAGGAGGCATCACAATAACTGATTGCAAATTTTATTACAGAGCCATAGTAATAAAAGCAGCATTGTATTGGCATCAAAATAGACATGAAGATCAATGGAGTGGAATAGAAGACACAGAGACAAATCCATATTCCTACAGCCATCTGATATTTGATACAGGTGCCAAAAATATATTTTGGAGAAAAATTCGCCTTTTTAACAAATGGTGCTGGGGAAACTGGAGCTAATATGTTGAAAAATGAAACTAGATTGCTAGCTCTCGCCCTGCACAAACCTCAAACTGAAATATATGAAAGACAGTAATTAGATCAGAAACTTTGCAAGTGCTAGAAGAAAACAGGGTCAATACTACATCATATTGGTGCTAGCACCAATTTCCTTAACAAGACCCCAAAAGTGCTAGAAATGAAGGCAAGAATCAATAATTTGGATGCCATCAAACTCAAAAGCTTCTGCACAGCAAAGGAAATGATTAAGAGCCTAAAGAGATAGCCTACATAATGGAAGAAAGTCTTGGCCAGCTACTCCTCCAGTAGGGGATTAGTATCCAGAATATATAAAAAATCCAGAATATATATATAAAAAAAACCCAAACCAAACAAAAAACAAATGGCCCAACCAACCAATGAGCAAAAGAACTAAACTGAAACTTCTCAAAAGAAGAAACAAATGGCCAACAAATAGAGAATTTTTATTATCGATAGCAATCAGAAATGCAAATCACAAGTTTGCTAAGATTTCATCTAACTACAGTTAGAATGACACTGATCAAGAATACAAACAGGGAGAGCATGGAAGGAAGATTATCTCTAGATAGGGAATAGGGGTGGGAGGGAAAGGGAGGGAGAAGGGGAATAGCATGGATGGTGGAAGGAGATCCTCATCATTATACAAAATACATGTATGAAGATGTGAGAAAAAAATAATACAAACAATAATAAATGCTGGAAAGGTTGTGGGGAAAGAGATACAATGGTACATTGTTGGTGGGACTGCAGACTAGTATGTATGGAGATTCCAAAAAAAACTAGGGATGGAAATACCATGTGACCAAGATATCCCACTACTTGGTATCTTCCCAGAAGCTCTAACATCAACATACTATAGCTATACAGAGCTATACAGCCACCTCAACATTTATAGCAGTACAACTCACGGTATCTAAGTTATAGAATCAATCCAGTGTGCCCACCATCAGATAAATGGATTAAGTAATATATATATGATTTATATGATATCATTTATATGTATGTGATATAAATGAAGTAAGCCAAACTCAGAAACTCAAAGCTTTATTTTTTTCTCTCATATATGCATGCTAGAGTAAAATAATGGAAAGGGGGAAAGAAATATAGGATATCATGAAGATGACGGGAAGATCAGTAGTGTAGAAGGAAATGGAGAGGCATAGTGGAGAGGTGGGAAAGAGAAGGTAAAGTGGAATGAATTCTTTAAAAAAAATCATATATGTAGGAATGTACATACATATGTATAAGTAAAAGGAACCAATCAAATATAAATAAACAGATGAGTAGAGTATTAGTCTAGCACACTAATAATAATAGTAGCAGAGTGGAGGAAAGAGAATGGCAGAGAGGAGGGTTGGAGGGAATGTGGGGAATCATGAACTGAAATCAAATTCCATGCATGTTTGAGTTTATGGGAGAAACCCTACTACTAGTATAAAGCTCTCATAAAAAATTTAAATTTTTTCTATTGTTGGGGCTTTTTTTATAACTACAGAAGAAGAAATAAACTTGAATATCTTTATTCATTAGAGATGCAAATAATATCTAGTAGAAGAGATAATCCTGGTGATTATGGTTTATGCTTTGTTGGTCACTAACCAGTTTTGTAGTGCTCCTATTAGTAATACTGTAGCTTCTCAACAACTCTAACAGTTTTTTACCTTAACTGGTTCTTTACTCAATTAATAAATTAAATAAAATATTTGACATATGTTCACTTAATATTTTCATAATATTCATTATTTTATGTTCTGGAAAAGTAAGCCTTTACATTGACCAGAATTTTGTCATATCACTGACCCCCAAGGGAAAGGGAGAAAAGGAATTACCACATTGTGCTTCTTCACTTCCCAATACGTACACCCACCGCCACACACACACACACACACACACACACACACACACATACATACATTGCCTTTTGCTAATAGGGCTGAGCCTTCTTAGTGGCTCAGGGGATATGGTGTCAAGGGAGAGGAAGAGGAGAATAGTTATGGGGTAGGTATCTAATAGCATAAGCCAAGCATAAGCCAAGTTTTATTTATCCTTCTTTTGCTATATATAATTTTTCTCGTTTTAAATCATTAAAAAGTTAATGACATACTCATGCATAACCCAGGTCTAGGTATAAAGACAGGAGAGAATAGTGGTTAAACGTAGTTTCTATAGTTGAAAAGACCTAGGTGAGAATTGTTTGTGGCTATATAACCTTCAGTAAATTATACATAATTCTGATTCCTTAGGCCTGGTTGATTTTGTGCCCTTTTTGTCTCCTATGAAGTGAACTATTTAAATTTAGCCTTTCTTTGGATCTGTTCTTTAGTTTGAATTTCAACTTGTTCTGGAAGGTTGAGGTCCAACCACTATACAAATGTATTACAATTGTAATATCATTAATTGTAATGGTGAAACAATTTATTTTTATAACCAGTATTTCTGGTTTTCAACTAATAATAATTTTATTAATTTTGTGGGCATGTACTTTAGATTAATCATTTGTTGGGAAAGAGGTTTCCTTATACTAAGTTAATGTCTGTGTTAATAACCATAGTTATAAATAATATTTAATCAAGGTACAATGACTAGTTTCCCCTTCTGCCATCTCTTACCGTCATTTATGTGCCTTTTAAATTATCTCCAACTTGATTATAAGGGATACATAGTCCTATATTGTGAATCTTTATAAATCATGCTACAGAAACATAATACGATCTGCCCTGTTAAAATTGTTAATTTCCCAACTTTTCCCAACTATATGTTCCCCTCTAAAACCTTTATTTAAATAAACATTTCCTTGAAACTGTTTATGGCTTAGCAGCTTAAAAAATTTAAAGATACATATTCAAAGCCAGCCTCAACAACTTAGTGAGGTTCTAAGCAACTTAGCAAGATCCTATCTCAAAATTAAAAAAAAAACAAAAACATAAATGTAAAAGGGGTTGGAGGAATGTGGCTCAGTGGTTAAGCAACCCAGGATTCAATTCCTGCTACCAAAAAAATAAATAAATAAAATATATCAGTGGGAATGAATATATATATATATATAAAATACACACAAACTTGTGAATCACTTCACATATAACCATATATAATATTTGAATTTCAAAATTTTATATTTTACATGAAGTCATATATCCTTTTTTTGCCTTTTGTAGGAGGATACTTCATCGAGATTTGAAATCAAAGAATATATTTTTGAAAAATAATCTCCTGAAAATTGGTAAGTTTTAAAAAATATGTAATCCAAAAACATTACATATTATTCTAGATGTTATTTTATCAAGCTGAAGTATATGGTACATGGAACCATTAGAGTTATCATTGGTTTCTTTAAACTTCTCAATTTTTTGTTTGCTCAGATGGATCCAACTAAACCCAATTGTTTTGTTTCTGATTATCCAATATAAATTGGGATATAAAACATTTACTATGTGCTTGGTTGATTTGACAAATATGCGTTGCAGTCCTGCTCAAATATACTTTGAGTTCACTTTCTTGGTAGTGGTTAGACTTGTTTTACTGGTTTGATTAATTATCTAGGTTTCCCACTGACTTTATCATAAGCAATAACAAGTTATCATGGACAATTAAAATGTTGATATAGTGGCTTTATAGTGTTTATTTCTTCAGAACTGTACCCTCACTTCATAGTTACTAGATTATCTAATCATCATCTGAGATGTTTTTAGGGAGTGAAGGAATAAAAGCATTCATCTAAGGAGGCAAAAATAGAAAAGCCAGTGTATTCAAATTTCTATAGTTATGCTCATGAGTAGTTTCAAGTCTTTTACATTTTCCCTTTATTGTAAATTAAAGAACAAACCTTTCCCTTCCTCAGATAAAATTGTCCATCATCATATTCAACTCTTCCAGAATCATTTCAGACTTGAAGAAGTATTTTATATCAAGTTGTCTAATTGTTAATAATTCCAGAAATAAATAATTTTAGGTTATATAATTCACTGTACTGGCTCAGTCTTTTTTTCCTATAAAACCTGTGTTTTTATAACTATTTACCAGCTTTATAGAATTTAAAGTATCACTTTCTTCCCCTTTAAAATAGTAGAAGCATTGCATAATAAAATGATCAAATTAGACACACATCCAGTGTTTAATTTCCAGTGCTGATTTTTATTGTTTTAAAGTATTCATAAAGATTAATTATTATTTCTAGGGGATTTTGGAGTTTCTAGACTCCTAATGGGATCCTGTGACTTGGCCACAACTTTAACTGGAACTCCGCATTATATGAGTCCTGAGGCTCTGAAACACCAAGGCTATGACACAAAGTCAGACATCTGGTGAGTGGGCAGTGGGCTGGCCCAGATTGCTTCTTCATCTGTTACCTAAAGAGAACAATTCATTTTGTTTTTAAGCTCATTTACTTACTACATCCACTCACTTTATCCCTTTGACATTTGAGTTATTTTGTGGCCAGAGTAAAAGAAGGTCTTTTGGATTTAGAACTTGCTATTTTTCATTAAATTGATTTCAAAAATTCTCTTTATTCATAGATTAATTGGTTGCTTTGGATTTTTAGTTCCTAAACCACAGGGGAAAGTTCTTAATGTACCAGGAGCATTAAATTTTGAAATGTTCTGCTAACTTATTAAATAAAGCATTTGTAACTCTAAATACTGGTGTTTTTAAAAGCTCTGTGGGGCATATATTACTTCTCAGTATTTTTTTCTTCTTGTTACTTTTAAGAATTTTACTAAAGATATTGGCTTTATAGATAACCTAAATTTCAAAATTTCTGGGTTTTCAGTGATAGATACACCTGAGATTTCTCTTTCTCTGAGCTCTTGTATTAAATATATTTCTTCCTCTTTGTCATGGAACCAGTTTTAATCTCACTGCAAAAGCCATGTGGAAATTGTGTTCAGTAAGTCCTGTTATAAGCAATAGATCCTATTTAGGGAATATGTCTTTCCTTTGAAGAGGAATCATATAATTTTCAGCTTGTTAAGGGTTGAAGGGATAATCAAGCTGAGAGCTTGTTAATTAAGTAAATAATTATTGTATGCAAATTAATGTAAGTAGTTCTGAGGTTTCAAAGATGAGCAATGTGAAATATGTACCCACTTCAGTTTTTAAAGAAGATAAAGGAGAAAATTGTCTTTTCTCTGGTTATGGAAAAGTGAACCACAACAGGGAATATAGCTTGGAATTTTCATAAAGCTCATTACTTCTGTTCTTGTGGTGCCTCCCTAGTGGGAGAGAACACTGTCAAGATTATGTCTGGCTGTGGAAATTCCCCATAAATCTCTTCCCTTTGTTTCATTCTTTTGGTTATTTGTTTCTAGTGGCTTCACTGGAGTTTTTTCCTTGTTAGCTTGCTTCTGCCCTATGGGTCTCTTTCAGTTCACTTATCATTTTCCCTTATCCATCCCCCTAACCATGGTCTCCTGCCATGTCCCCACTAAAAGTGAAAAACAAAACCCAAATCAAACAAAAACAAAATACAATTCTCAGAGGAATAAGTTTCTTTAAATTTTGCTTTTTCAGCATCTACTATTTGCCCCAAATTGTGCAATAGCCCTTGGAGTATAAAAGCAAAACCAATGGGATTCCTGTTCCTCATGAGAAATCTTGTTCATCTTGATGTCACTGTCTTCAGTTAGAGGACATCAATGTTAGGCTTCAGATTGAATTCAGTTACATATCTATATTCTCTTTACAATTTTAACAATTATTGTGGATGTTTAAAACAGATTCAAATATATGTCTTCATAATTTAAGGTTGATATCTGAAAACATTACATAATGTCATTTGATTAAGAGTGAATTAATTTAGGAAACCCATCATTTAAGTTTTGGAAATTACATATAGCAGTTAACCTGGTTCCTTTTGATGAGGTATCTGCATTTGCTTGTCAAGTCTGATACATATCTCCTAGAGAATGGGGCAAGAGGACCCACAAGGAGGAATAAAGCACAGAATTTGTCTCAGTTGTGTTAGTGCTACTTTTTTTTCACAAATTGCTCTTACCAGTGTATGAAGAATTATAGGAATACAAAATCGTGTTGCTTTATGTTTTATGTTTACAAAAATATCTGACTCAGGCAAAGCCAAAACCTTCCAAATATAAAATTGCAGAGAGATTTTAATTTATCTGTCCAAGTTTTAGGTCCACTCCCCTTGCAGGGATGATTAACTATTCAGCAAGTGTAAGCTGAGGATTCATCATCATCCTGACCCCCCACCAAACCATCTTATTATGAATTTAGTAATTACCTTTGTTGTGTCTAAATTAAAATGGGCTTATCTGGTAATGAAATTTCTACTGCCAAACCTAAGTGGGAAAAATTACAGAAAAATATTTATTAAGTGTAGTGGCAGATATGTATATGTGATTAGTAATCTTGGGGAGACACTCTTAGAAAAATTAGATTGAGGATGACACCCTGTCTCTGTATTTTAGCATGTAGCATCTGTTTATTGTAAAATACTTTCTTAGAATTGGAAACTCTTATAAATAATTGACAGGTGTTTTGCTTTAGCAACTAATAGCTGTATGTATTATGTTTATAATGCTTAAAGAAGAATTGGTTTTATATTAATAATATTTTCTTTTGTTAATGCTTACCCATATGTAACTTCATCTTCCTTCCACACTCTGTTAAACCTTTCTGGATTTAATTATTTATAGTATTTAAATACAGTAAGTCACTCTCTTAAAAGTAGGTTAGTCCAATAGTTAATAAACAGTTATTTGGAAAGAGGATAATTAGGTTCACTAAGGACAATGCTTTGAACACAGCTGAATTTTAATAGCAATTGGTAAATAATTTTTTCTCTACAGGAGAAATATGAACATGCATGCATTGGTTCCTAGGCCAGGTCTTTAAATTGATCTAAACTATGAAAAATTAGAATACATAATTTTTGTAGGAGAAACAAAGGACAATAGTATTGGAATAAGGCAATAGAATACTTCACTGTTTGTCATATTTATCATGTTATGAGAAGTTAATCAGATGGCTCTTTGATCTGTGGCCCTATAATTCTTGGAGTGATTTAAGTGGAGGAAATAATGTTGGGCATTTTGGGGACATTAGAGTGCACTCTGAGGCTTTTGGATGTTGCTGAGGCTCAGATTTTTGCTCAGAGATCCAGCATGGAGGTCAGCTGGGTAAGGGACACTAGAGGAGTATAGTTCATGCCCAGTATTGGAATCAGGCTTTGGACAGAAGTATCAGCAAGGTTTAGTTACAGGTGAAAGAAAACAGAAAGGAATCAGCTCCTTCCTGGTCCATCAGGACCAAGAAAGTGTCCTCATTAGGGAATATTTCCTGGGTGAACAGAAGAAGGGTTAGGGAGGGCAATAGCCTATTTTCTGATGAAGGATATAGGAGAAAGATAAATACAGGCCAACTTGGTAACTCCTATAACTAAAATCAGGCCTGCTAGTATCTGACATTCAACAGCCTCTTCAGGCCTCTGTTGGTGAGGGAAACTCTACAACAAGAGAGGCCATTCCTCTTAACTGCCCATGACCTGAGCAGTTCTTGTATAAGTTCACAAGCAAGCTGTCGGTTGGAGGATACCTTACTAGGGAATAAACGCTGATGTAATTATTTTCAACCAACAAAAGCCGAGGTAGGAAAACATATGGTCACTTACAGTAGATTTGAGCAATTTTATATTTTTTTCTATGTCCCAGCATGAAATGATTGACATAAACTCTGTATTATCTATAAGTTGACCTGATGAAATTTAAGATTATAACATAATAAATCCTTGTTAAATTGATATCAATGATGATGAAAATAAACACAAAAGCAGCAATAAAAATCAGTAAGAGCTACCCTTTATGGAGTGCTCACTCTATGATTAATTAATAGTTACTCTTCTAATTGCTCCATATACTTATTTGGTATTACCAAAAAATACAATATGTAATTTTATAACCTGCTTTTTTTTTTCATTTAGCAAATGGAATCTTGTTCTGCTTCAATAAACATATATCTACATACCATTTAAATGTTTGCATAGTTTTCTATACAAGATCACAATTTACTCAACCAAGGTCTTACTGTTCTTTGAAAATTTTCAAGTTTTTACTATGAGGTGTCTGGGACTGAATTTTTCATTATACTACTTGAAATTAGTTTAGCTTCTTATATTTGTCAATGAATGTATTTATTCAAATGCAGGAGGATTATAGCCATTATTGCTTTGAATATTTTTTTCCTTTCTCTCTCCTCTGGTGCTTCATTATATGTATACTCATGTGCTTGATGGTATCTCACATTCCCCTTTATTTATTTTTCTTTTTGTTCTTCAGACTGCATAAACTCTACCCATTTTCCAGTTCATGGCTTCTTTACTCTCTCAGTTGAAGTCTACTGTTCATCTCCTCTAGTGAATTTCTGATTTCCATAATTGTACTTTTCATCTCCAAAATTTCTGTTTGGTGATTTTTAGTGTAATTTTTCTCTTTATTAATATTCTCTATTTGATGTGACGTTTTCATCACACTTCACTTCTTTACACATTTTTTCTTTAATTTTTTGAGCACATTTATAATAGCTGCTTTGAAGTCTTTGTCTGTTAAAGGTGATATCTGCAACTTCTCTGGTAATGTCTATTGTATGCTTTCCTGTTTATTTTTATGTTTCACAATTGTTGAAAACTGGGCATTTTAGATAATATATTGTAGCAACTCTGAACACTCATTCCCTCCTTAACTACCATACCTTCTCTGAGTCTTGTTTGTTTACTTACTTATTTGACGACATTCTGGGATATTTTGGTAAAATCTATTTTCCCTGTAGTATTAAGTCTCTCAAGTTGTTCCTCCAAGAGTACAGCCCTGGGTATAAATGTTTTCTTTGGATGACAGTGATTTTAGCTGGAATTTCCTTGTCTCTTTCTCTGTTCTCTCTGTTAAGCTGCCTGCCTTTGTTGAAGCTACCCAGCTTATTACCACCCTTAATTGTAAGTAGCTTTTTACTAAGTTCTTGAACCTCTAGTTGAGACCAGTCATTCCAAAGAAAGTCAAATTTGGATGGAGTCTTCCCAGTACCATGCACTTTGTAGCAAGGAGAATCTCAGATAAGGAGAATGTGACTATTGGAACCTAGCAGGGCCTGGGTTCCTGGGCAAAGGGGCTTCTTTGGAAGGAAGAAACTGGTCAACACAATCTATCACTTTTCACATGCTTTGTTTACAATATGATGTTGATAGTACTTTTAATGAAAGTATTCTTATTGTGTTGTCCTTCACTCTTAATTGGGGTAAGCCTGTAATTATGGCAAAATTGATGTTACTGTAATACTTAAGTCTAGATCATCA